ATTCAATACTTTTGATATATTTTAATTTTTGTGTGGTGTTTCTGATGTGCAACTCTCTAGTCTCAACACAAATTTATTATAAAAAAGAATAAATAAAATAATCAATGAGAAATGATAATTATTTAGATCAACCCATTGTAAATATTTCAAGACAAACAATAGGAAGATTAACCTTATCGAATAAACGAGGGTTACCAAAAGTTTCAGAAGAATAAGAAGAGACAGTAAAATTTTTTTTAACTAAAAGAGCAGGACCTTCTCCCCCACCACCGAAGAAAAGATTTTCGTTTTTAGTAGAACAAAAAAGGGAATTTTTTTCAGTCCAGTGATAAGTGTGAAGAATTTTATTAAGATCAATTTTAAATAAGAAATCCTCTCCATTACCAAAATAAGGAGCAGAACCTAATAATAATGTATGAGATAAAAACATTCCTACTATCCCTTGTTCTGTTTTTAATACAAATAATAATGGTTGATATTTTCTTACTTTATTATACATATGATAAAACGATACACCATCAATAGATGAATTAAATACAATATTTGGCTCTAATACTCTTCTATGCACTGGAATGTGTTGCCAAATAAGTTCTAATGTTGAATATTCTATAACAGATGTATTCATATTCATTTTTAATGGTGTAAATGAATGTCGATCTTGTGATGGTTGATTTAATGGAATTGTTGTTAAATCAATTTTTAATGCGTTTTTCATTAAAATAGATGGGTCTGGATATGCCAATAAAACATAATTTAATACTGAAATAAATTCATCTGTTGTTTCAGCACAATTTAAAATATCTTCGGCAACTTTTGCAGCAGCAAGAATATATCGAGTTATTGTTTTTATTCCAGACACTAAAAATTGATCAAGAATACAAAATAATGCTCCATATGGAACATATCCCACCATAAAATTGGTATAATATTTAAGAAATGTATTTGCTGATAATGCATTTATTATTTGTGATTTATTTGGGAAATATGATTTTAATGTATCAATTAAACTATCTTGAATTAATACGTAATCAACTGGATGTAATGGTAATAAATTATTAGCTTGTGATGAATGGGTTAGTAATGCTTGACCAAAACATAATGTTTCATCTAATGTGCAACATGAAGCAACAATTCCAACTAAAAAAAATGAGTATAAATTATACTACAAATGAATAAAAAAAATAAAAGTCAAACGAATATTTGGTAATATAGGACAGAAACTAATATTTGGATTATGAATAGAAAGAATGCTAAGAATAAAACCAATAGAAGAAAGTGCTCTTTCTTCTAATAGTGGATGTTCTTTAATATGAAATATACCATTATACTAAATAATTAATCAAATTAAAATTATGTCTTTATATGTTGTAATCACAAAAATTAACAAACAGTAAAAGGAAATGATAAAATAGTATTTGGTGGACAACAACCTCCAAAAGAATGTAAAACACTAGAAAGATAATAATCAGGATGTTCTCTTATAAAAGACTCTATTCCTGTATATTTAACAAAAAACATTCGTTGATAATTTAATCCAATTCCTTTCTTTACATAAGTTTTCCATGAACGTGAAAATGGAGGATGAATGTCATTAATTCCAAGTGGATTTTTATGTGGTGCTGTACGTTGTAATGAGATATTACCTATTCTAATAATATCAGATTTTCTAGGATCTGGTAAGAATGTTGAAAAGGAATACGGTGGAGGTCTTGGGACTAAAGGTAATGAAAGATATAATAAATATTTTTGATAAAATGATTCTGGAACAGTAGATACCATGTTAATACGTAAAAAACACCACCTTCTACAAGACTCACCAATATTAGCAATTGCATCACTTAATGTGTCATTAGAAGTGTCAAGAGAACACCATCTAGGATAACCATTAAATAATGATATAATAGAAGTATTTGACTGTTTGACATATCCAATTACAGAAGATATATGATCTTTATCATTTTTTATATCTTTCAAAGAGACTTGAGACGTTGACTCACTTCCTTCAATGGAAAATTTTTCTACAAGAGAAGTATCATTAGATTCTGTGTTCATAGACTTTAATTTCTTTTTTCTGTTTTGGGAGATTTTTATTTTCTGCAACAAACTCACTTTTTATAGAGAATAGCCAGAATCAGAGGTTTCATAAAATATTTATTTTTCTTTCATATAGTTCATTTATAACAAATATACCATCTATAACATATATTTAAACCAAAAGAAAAATTAAGTGATATATAACAAAATAAAATCCTTTTTAAGAAATATTTTTTAAAAAAAAAAGAAGTAGCTATTTTTAGTTATAGTAAAATGATTGATTAACTAGTTGATAACTAAAAGAAAACTTTAATTAGTTTAACATAACAAAAAATAATTGAAATAATAAAACTTTGTTGCAGAATGAGTGATCCATCGGTCAATGAGGAAACTATTCTTTATTTAAATAAGACTATTGATAAAATAAAAAACCAGAAATGGAAACCAGTTATCAAAGAGTATATAAGCTTTGTCATTGAACAAAGTAAGAATCTTTCATGGAGTGAGTTTGAGTATTGTGTTGTATTACCATTTAAAATGATGAAGGATGAACAGATTTCTGTATTTATGAAATTTCCTAAAATTAGAGATAGTGCCCAAGTGATGAATTTCATAAAAACCCAAAGTGATTCTAATCAAAAAATATATGAAAAGAAAGTTTTATTTCTTCCTTTATCCTGCCCTAAATATATCATTAAAGAAGTTATAAAAGATTATTTCTTTTCTCGAGAATGGGACGTTCTTCTTGATAAAATTGTTGTTGACCAATTACCTTCTCCAAAGTGTCTTCAAATTATTAAAAAACTACAACAACACTATTTGTTTCATGACTGTGTATTACCGAATCAAGTTACTTTAACACAACAAATTATTCAGCAACACACATCTTTGCAGACTGCTATTTCGAAATTATTTACACAAAACTCAAGAGGGTTAATTGGAATGTTTGAGTTTCAAAGGAAAGAAAGTCAAAAAGAATATAACATCCCTGTCACTACTAACACTGAAAACTCTCAACTTTTAAAAAGAGAAAGAAGGCTTTCTTTCATTAGAATGGACTACGACATAGTTTCTAAAGGACTTGAATCAAAAGACATTATTAACAAAGATAGTCCTAATAGTACTAAAACCTTTAATAGAAACCAGTTGTTAGATGAAAGAAATGAAAATGAATTATTAACACCATCCTTTATTCCATCAAGAATAATTAAAGAAAATGACCCAAATAATGGACATGAACCATTAAAAATCTTTAAACGAAACACTCAAAACTCTTCTTACATAATGGACTCCTCCTATCTACATAAAAAAATAAGATTACTAAACACTCCTTTAGTAGATGACTTTGACTTTCAAAGATTTTATAAAGCCCAAACTAATTACTCAACTCCGGAACAAACAAGCCGGTTTCATCGTATTGACAGTTTACTAAAAGCTAAAAAAACACAAAAAGAAGAGTTATTGAACATGGAAGAAGTTATTGATACGTTATCCTTTGAAAAGCTTCCATTATGTTCAATTTTTCATTGATTGTTTACTGTATTTTATTTTTATTTGTTTCATAATAATGTAAACTTATAAAGATAAAATACCTTTTCAATTAGAATGAACACAACATGACCAACAACCAGAGAAACAGGTCTTAAGCATTTCTTGCCCATATGGAAGATATGAGAATAAATACCACAATAATGCCACAACTTCTAATACTACACAAGGAAGTGTTAATAGAGTAGACTTTAGCTTTAAAGCACAAAAGAGAACAAGAGCAATAGAGATTAAATAGATAACAAATGCAATTAACTTGGGAATATCAGAAATTAATGATTTAATTTGACTAGAAATACTTCTTAAAAAGAATGTTGAAAGTAATATTAGTATATTCCCAACAGTAAATAATTTAGCAAATTTCATTGGAAGTAAAATGAATGTAAAACTCAAGAAAAGACTAATTACACCAAAGAACACAAGTATACATATTATTGAAATTCGTACTTTAAAAGGAAGTTTAAAATATGAAAAACATGATTGATCTTCACCTCCAACCAAGGTATCAAACCAACTCTCTGAGAAATAATCATCTTCTTGTTGTGGTCCATTTACTTTAGAACGAACCGTTCTTTTAAGACTCGACCATCCACTTTTGATTGTATCCATAATGAAAAGTTTATTAAAATAAAAAAGATCATTATTTTTCTTATTATTTTCATTTTTTGGTTTTATTAGAACTCAATAACAATAATTTACTGTTCATCATGGAAAATAACCTTCAGATACAATCAAATCAAGAAGGTTTCAATCAACAGCAACAAAACCAAGAAGGTTTCAATAATCAACAACAAAATAAAAAAGAAGAATTAACACCAGAACAACAACAACAATTAGATGAAATGTTAGGTCAAATGAAAACTCTTGGAAATTCAATCCTTGGTTTTTTTGGATTATCAACCGACAACTTTAATGTTCAGCAAGACCCTAGTACTGGTGGATATTCTATTCAATTTGTTCAAAACCCAAATCAATCTCAACAATAAATATTCAGTCGTTTTAATAAGAACAAACAGTAAAAATTCTTTGACCAAAAGACTATAATATTTCTTTTAATTGACTTTTCACTACTTCTTTATTATAAAAGAATCACCAACAAAAAGAACATATATTTCAACGTTAAATCTGATTCTTCATAAAACAAAAACAATATTTAAAAAGTATAAAGTTTATTTCTTTTAAGACATTAAAAACAATTATAAAAAAAATTAGTTATAATTCTTTTAATAGTTTCATAAAAAGGATTTTCTGTATTTAAATATAAAAATGTTAAAACATAAGATTTAAAGAAGAAATAACAAATACAATTAAACCCATTTATCACTCATTTGGTATGTAGTTCTATCTTATTCAATAACTATTTTTATAATATAAACAGTTAAATTCCAATAGCTATTTCAAAAATATTTTCATTTATTTATCTTTATTTTATCAAACAAATTAATAAGTTTGAATTAAAAGAAAAAACAATATTCAGTAGATTGAATAAATGAATAATTTATATATTAAATTATTTATTCAAACTAATTGATTGATTATCTTAAGTTATGTTTTTGATGATAAAATTAAATTAGTTAAATTCATTTAAATATAAAATTATTGATACTTCATTTATAAAATTATATTTTACTATAACATTTTCAATAGTAATTTTATGTTAATAACATTATTCTTAAATAACACTAATAATTATTTATTAAAATGCTTCTGTTTAATTAATAATTCTTTTAAACTTTTTATAAATGTCTTGTTATTTTTTTATTAACAATTTATCATAATAACTGCCTCAAAAAACAAAAGTCAAATTAAAGAAATATTTGAATTAACATAATGTAAATTACAATTAGTTTTTTTCATTGAAAGTATTTTAATATGAATAAAGAAATAAAGAATAAAATAAAAATGTTAAAAAGTAATAATGTCAAAAAGGATTATTAAGAAAGATTATAATCCTTAAAAATCTTGCTCATCTTAAAAAAACAAAAATTTTATTTTTATTTTTTTTAGCTTTCTTTTTATTGATTTTGAACTAGAACTTAAAA